ACAACAGGATGGTTCGTTTATTACCGGAAGACTGCATAATGATAATTCTCTTTCGTGGATTTACTACTCTACTCCTATGTCCTATGTGTTTTTGCATATAGTGTTGGAAGCAAACACACAGGTTACACAGGTTGAGGATCCTACGCCATCATATGGTTACGAAGGAATGTTTGGTGGTGAGGATACGTGGACTACGCATGCCGGTATTTTTGGTGAAGGGACGAGTAATTTCGGCGAAGGGACGAGTAATTTCGGCGAAGGAACGAGCTTTACCATGAGAGGACCGGACATTGATGAAGAAATTGTTGGAGATGAAGATTTCAATCCCGGTGAAGACGATTTCACGGATGAGACCTCGGAAACCGAATCGGACAGATCAATTAATGAGGAGAGCGAACAAGAATTCATTGAAGAACACCCCTTTCCAAATGAAGACCTCTACGATTATCGCGAGATGGGTGATTGGGACTCGTCGTGTGTAGACAGGGACGAGTATGCCTTGCCAACCTGGAATGGGCGTGTCGAGACTATCCGATTGGGTACAGTTTTTCATACCAAGGAAGAAGCCCAGATTGGTATTAATGCCTGGAATGTCGAGAAACTTTGGGCGGTCCGGACAAAAGATTCCAACAAGAAGTCGTTTAAAGTTGTGTGCAGATCAGATGAAGTTGTACCATGTATATGGAAGGCCCGGGTGAGTCTTAACAAACGGGATCACGGCAAGTGGGAGGTAACCGAATGGACCGATAGCCACACTTGCATGCAGGTGTTCGAGAGAAATGACCACAAGAATGTGACCGCCACCATGATTTCAAATCTTTTGTTGGCTAAGATTCAGAAGCAGGTGACCTACAGTGTGGAAATGGTCCAGGCCGACGTAAAAAGTGCCTGGGGCGTCGATGTCAGCTACAAAAAGGCGTGGCACGGGAGAAAAAAAGCCATTGATCATCTGTATGACACGTGGGAAACGAACTTCGCACAACTCCCTCAGTAAGCAAAAATAAATTATAAACGTATTTACGTGTTGTTTTGAACTATATTTATTTATTTATTTATTTATGGTTACCTTTTATAATTTGCAGGTTTTTCGCCGCCCTTCAAAGGGCGAATCCCGGTACAGTCGTTGAGTGGGAATGGCAGGGTGGAGAAATGGCGAAACAATCTCGAGACAGAGAATTCAGATTTGTCTTCTGGGCATTCGGCCCCGCCATTCAAACCTTCGTTCGTTGCCCGCCGATTATTAGTATCGACGGCACGCACCTGCGAGGTTCGTACAAGGGGAAACTACTTGTTAATTGCAAATTAATATTTTATTTTTTAATTTACAATAGTGTTTCATAAAAAAAAAACATATGTCCAACTGGGCAGGTTCGTACAAGGGGAAGCTGCTTGTTGCCATAGCACAGACCGCGAATAAGCGTCTATTGCCAGTCGCTTATGCGATTGTGGACGAAGAAAGCACGGCTAGCTGGTCCTTTTTCCTAACACATCTGCGCCATCATGTCGTCCCCGGCAGATCGATATGTCTTCTTTCCGACAGGGACAACGGCATATTGAGTGCTGTTGAATTACTGGAGACTTGGCACGAACCCCATGCATTTCATCGGATATGCCTTCGACACCTCCGGAGCAACGTGTTTTCAAGGTACCGGACTAAACAAGTCCGGGGTTTGTGTTGGAGGTTGGGTTCACTGTGTTCTCGCCGCAAATTTGAGCAGAGTCGACAGGAACTCCATCAATGTAACCCGGACGCATACGATTACCTTTTCAAAATTCCTCTAGAAAAGTGGACCCTGTACAAAGATGGAGGACGTCGATGGGGAACTCTGACAACGAATATGTCAGAGAGTTACAACAATGTCCTCAAAGGTGTTAGGTTCCTGCCCTGCAGAGCGTTGGTACAGGCCACATTGAACAAGACTCTGGATTTGTTTGAACAAGAACAAAAGAAGTCCAGAGGATGCAGGACTCCCATTCCTACCGACCTCTATGCCGCCTATTGGGAGTTGGAAAAGACGGCGGTGACTCACGAGGTGCTTTGTGTGGACGCCGATGGATCCCAGTACATGGTGACAACCGGTCTACGCGCCAATGGAAGAGGGCAAAACAGGTATGTATTTTGTAATTGTATTTTTTTTTTCCATTCAAATGAGTTTATTAATTTTCTAATTTATATATATAAATCATTGTTGAAAATAGGTTTAAGGTCTTTTATGAGCAGCAGCGTTGTGCATGTAGGAAGTGGCAGACACATCGAAAACCATGCTCTCATGCAATTCGAGTGTGTCGTCAGCGGGGTGATCAACCGGTGTCGTTGTATAATCCCTACTTTTGGACGGAGAACTGGGTTAATCAATTTTCTAATTGGAATTTTACTCCAGTTGGAAATCCTGACACGTGGCCGCAGGTGGGATGGAATTTGATTCCGCATTGGGAGAGGATCATCTCGAAGCCTGGACCCGGTCGCGCCCAAACTAGACGCTTTAAAATGCAAATGGATCGTCGGGCGCGCCGCAGAAGGGGCCGGGGTCAATGCAGTAGATGTGGTGATCCCTTACATTTCGCTGACCATTGCCCGTATTCGCATCCTCCCATCGATCGAACTAGACTCCGCGATGATTGGGGGAACTAAATTTTTTTAGATGAATATTTTGTATTTGGATGATTTTGTAATTGGATGATTTTGTATTTCGACGATTTTGTATTTGGATGATTTTGAATTTGGATGATTTATATAATGTATCGAACTCGAATTAGTGAAATTGAACTCGAATTAATGATATCGAAAGTCAAATTAGTACAATTAAAGTCAAATTAGTACAATTAAAGTCAATTATAATGAAATCGAACTCGAATTAATGAAATCGAACTCGAATTAATGAAATCGAACTCGAATTAGTGAAATCGAACTCGAATTAGTACAATTAAAGTCAAATTAGTACAATTAAAGTCAAATTGTAATGAAATCGAACTCGAATTAGTACAATTAAAGTCAATTATAATGAAATCGAACTCGAATTAATGAAATCGAACTCGAATTAGTCAAATTAGTACAATTAAAGTCAAATTAGTACAATTAAAATCAAATTAGTACAATTAAAGTCAATTATAATGAAATCGAACTCGAATTAATGAAATCGAACTCGAATTAGTGAAATCGAACTCGAATTAGTACAATTAAAGTCAAATTAGTACAATTAAAGTCAATTATAATGAAATCGAACTCGAATTAATGAAATCGAACTCGAATTAATCAAGGATCACGGGGTCCAGGACTACGACTCCAAGACTTGGGACATAAATGGCCAGTGTCTGTATTTTAGTAGTCTGGAAGAGGAGTGCAAGCGCCCTCTGGAGGATGGACTCCCTACATCAGAGTACGAGAAGAGGGTGCGAGCTCTGATACTCTGGTGTATTGGGTCCTTCTTCTTCCCCGACCATCGGGCCAACGGAGTCAACCTCTACTGGTTGTCCCTGTTGAATGACATCGATGCCATTCCGGGGTACAGCTGGG